TTTTTAGTAGAGACGGGGTTTCACCGTGTTAGCCAGGATGCTCTCGATCTCCTGACCTCGTGATCCGCCCGTCTCGGCCTCCCAAAGTGCTGGGACTACAGGCTTGAGCCACCGCGCCCGGCTCAAAAGTCTTTTTACTCTCTTACCTGGAAGACCTCAGGCTGGCCAGGTTGCTGTGCTGACGGCTGTTGAACATGTTGCTCACTAGAACTCGAACGATGATGAGGCTGCTGGCCCTGCCACTGTGGCCAGACACCCACACCCTCTGCTGTCCGTGTCTGGAATTGTCCTGCAGTCTGTCCAGTCTCAGGAGCTAGAAATACAGCAAGGAAGAATAAACAACGCCAATCTACACAATTCCACTGTGTACTAATGCCACAAGTAAACAACTAAAGGTAAGCCATTAATTTACCTAGGATAACTCTGTTCTTCTCTCCACCAATCAATGCCTTTTCTATCTCAAAACTCAGCCCTAAATTAATTATTCTTCTCCAGGCAGCCTTTCCATAGAGTCTTTTACTCATTTAGGTTAAATGTGTACACTATTAAATGTATAAAAATGTACACGATTTTTGTTATGATTTTTGTTATATGTGCTAAAGTATTTTTCATGTGGGTAGATTTTTTTTTTTTTTTTTTGAGACGGAGTTTCACTCTTGTTGCCCAGGCTGGAGTGCAACGGCGCGATCTCAGCTCAATGCAACCTCCGCCTCAATGCAACCTCCACCTCCCAGGTTCAAGTGATTATCCTGCCTCAGCCTCGCGAGTAGCTGGGATTACAGGCATGTGCCACAATGCCCGGTAGAGACAGGGTTTCTCCATGTTGGTCAGGCTGGTCTTGAACTCCCAACCTCAGGTGATCCACCTGCCTCAGCCTCCCAAAGTGCTGGTATTACAGGCATGAGTCACCATGCCCAGTTGGTAGGTTTCAAATTCTAAATAGACTGGCCGGGCGCGGTGGCTCAAGCCTGTAATCCCAGCACTTTGGGAGGCTGAGACGGGTGGATCATGAGGTCAGGAGATC